TTTGCCACTATTCACACATTCGCTTGAAGGTCAAAGGTGGACACCTGCTGTGCTGGTGTGAATGTTTAATTAATTGAATGCACATTGCACTGATTTGTGGAAGAGCTTTTGTAGTCCTGTGGCGCCCACCCGGGGCAATGTGAACTTTTAATAGAATTAGTGAACCAGCAAAGTGCATGTCAGCACTGAGTTTATATGAAATTTACTAAGGCATACATATTTATGTACATATGTATGAAATTACAATATTCATGTTCATACATGTAATAATTTTTAAAAATACACTGGACTTCACAGCAACTGGGTAATGGGGAGTCATTTAAGAAGGAATTATATAAAACCTTTATAAAGTCTAGTACTTTGTAGAATTTATATAAGTATTTCGGAGAAGATGAATAGTAAATTACTAAGCATTTGGGAGATACTGAATAGCAAAGTATTGTATTGAATAGATTTCTAGATGGTACATGGTTCAGGATAAGGAAGAAAAACACTAGTAAATAATTTAAAAAAATTTTGTGCCGAGATATTGTTAGTATTTTGTTATTAGATACGCCATATTATTGATAGTCTGTATATTTCGGATATAGACGCAAAAACAATATTTACGGAATAAGGGAGAATAAGATGGAATAACTATATAAGTGACGCATAGAATAAAAAGGAATAAGGCGCAATAAAAAAGTCACAATATTCTTACCGCATTTGAAGTTGGTTCAGGCACACAGGCCAATATACTGATCGGAATTGACCGTGTTCAATGCATTTACGAGGAGGAACCAAACCATAGATGACCATACATCGTTTTGAGACGAAGAAAAATACACTCCTGGGAAGATTTTGACTTTTTATCTCGCTCCAGAATAATGAAAGCAACATTTTTGCTAAACTTGTTTGGACCTCATCAAGAAGTAAATACAACAAAGGTATCAACGGCATCCATACGATATCTCCTACACTATAGCATGCAGTCTATACTCGCTAACATTATAGAGATTTCCAAAAATGTATACGGGCAGGTTTGATGCTGATATTCGCTTCCGCAAACGCACAGCTCCCAGATTAATTTTAACATTCGCATATTTCTAGTAAATTTTGAAAACACTCGAAATACAGCAAAAAAAGTGATCTGTACATTTAATCATAATTTCTAGTAAACTGCGAAAATTGCGAATTATTTGCGATTTCATTTCACGATTTTTATTAATGATTAATTTATTAATTTAATTAATTTTTATTAACTCGAAATTTAGGAGGCGTACGAGTCAATGGACCTCAGATTTGGATTCAGTGGGTCGTAATACATGAGGGTAGGTGGGTATTGTAAAAAGCATATGTAAATTTTTTTTGGGATGCCGGTTTGATTATTATCTATTATTTTTCAATTACAAATCTTCCTTCTTCTTTTTGATCAATACATTTCATTTGATGCTGCCAGAGCTGAACTGGACAAGATTTGTTAGTTTTTCATTGATTTAAAAATTCGAAAAAGTTATAATTAAAAAATTATATAATATTTTGACACTCCGAATCCCAATTCCACTCTTCGATTGGAACTAATACTTAGTTCTCGCTATTCAATAGTGAATAATTTACAAAAAACGTATTCCGTCGTCGTTTAGAATGGCTCAAAGTAACTAATGCATAGCATAAGAAGGAATAACGGCAAGTCAATAATATGGCCGCAAAAAATTTTTTTAGTTAACCCTCTAGTAGGCCACTTTTTTTATGAGTTGAAAAATTCAGGAATGGGTGAATTTAGCACGAGAAATCCAAAAATGGTGTCCATTTCGATCTGTGACAGTAACTTTTTCCTACAGGGGAGAAAAACCAAGACCGTCTGGAGACGGGCTCGCCGAAATACTTACACATATTTTCAGCTTTCTCTTACACAATGTTGACCTACGAACCGGCAATCCCATCTGCAGACGGTCAAAAATGCAAACTGGGTTTTTATATGTCGGCAAGCCGGTCTGTAGAGGATCTGTGTTCGAAAGCAGTTTTCTCCAGTTGGAATGGTGACATAATTATAAAACTTATATTAAAATACGGTGCTTTTAACAACGAAATCCATCGAATTTTTTTATATCAAAAAATTTATCAAAAGAAAAATTTTCTTTAATTACGAAATTACTATCTTTCACAATCTGTAATTCAACTGCCGATTAAAATAAAAGGGATTGACATAATGTATTCAAATTTACTTCGCCGTAAGGGTATGAGTTTTGTCTGAAGATCGTGCCTTACGAATATAGAAAAAAAATATTATAGGTGCACTAAAAAGGTGTTTAGTTAACGAGCGTCTGGAGGCGGTACAGCCTACTAGAGGGTTAATTTAGTTTTAATTCGAAAACTTATAATTTTTTTGTTTGGCTCTTACCTCAATAAAATCCTTACACACTATTAATAACTTTATTGTTATTTTGGTCATCATTGTTGTTTAACAGTACTGTATGAATAATATGCAAAAAAAAACGTTAACGGTTTTGTCTTAATTTCAAAACTGGAAACGGGGTTCGTTTCATACTGTAATTTTTCGAATAATCCAAAAACGGGGTTTTAAAAAGTCGAACAGTCGAACAACCTACTAATGTGCATATATCTACTAGGCCAGATTCGGAAATTTCAATTCGACTTTTGTATTTTTTTGCGCGCTCTCATTTAGCGTCATTTTGCTCACAGACATTTTTCAAATCAATTAACATATGCAAATCATCTCCTCGCTGAAAAAGTATGCTTGCACCTCTCTTGTGTGTACACTAGTAAATAACTTAAGTCAGATTTTTATTCGGGAAAAAACCTTTCGTAGAGATGGTACAGAAAACCTGTAAATCAATATTTTTCTATTAGAAAAGTCGCGGTCTCTTCCATTTCCAATAACAGCATCCAATTATTTATTTAACCAGTTTTTCATACTAAAGATTTTTTGTTGGTCCCTCGACCATTGCATTTTCTGGGACTATTGATGGACCTATAAAATATAGTTACTATGAAAAAATGGTTAAATATACAATTGGGTAATATTACTGTGAATCTCTTGCAGAGAGCCAGAGTTTTGCGATCGAAATATATTAACTTTCAAGAACTCTACACTGTTTCTACGAAAGGTTGTTTTCCCCTTATAAATGCATGAACAACTCTGAGCGCTTCGAGCGACCTCTAAATATGTTTTGATTTCAAAACACACAAGTAAGAAAGTCTAAGTTCGGGCGGACCCGAACATTAAATACCCGGCGCAAGTATTAAATATATGTTTTCCTCCTTTCCGAAAGCTACCGCTACATCATAAGCCGGGGTGTATACATTTTAAGTAAATAAGCGTCCTTAAATTTCGAAATATTGAAATTTCAAGCATTTCTGAAATTTACCGTTATATGAAAGCGGCCTCAATTTTAGTCCGATTTCAACAATTTTCAACGGTTTGCTTTTATGTGGCAAGCACAATAACCATACCGAGCTTGGTACAAATATGGGATCACAAGTGGGCGGTGCTACGCCCATTTTCCAAAATTTTGTCATAAACGTATTTCTTGGTAAAGAATTGTTGCAACCAACAATTTTGAATAAATTAGCTTCAATATTTACTGATTTATCGAAGATTTTGTATTTCTCGAAATTACCGCTATATGGAATGTGGGCGTGGTTATTGTCCGATTTTAGAAATTTTCGGCCATTTGGTATGCTGTACCAGGACCAACAACTGTGCCAAGTTTGGAAGAAATTGGTGTAGCGGTTACCAAGATATACACATGTAACCATAAGTGGGCGTGGCTACGCCCATTTGCCAAAATTTTGTAATATTCTTAGTTTTCGTCTGAAACTCATTGTAAATATCAATTTTGAGTGAATTATCTTCAGTAGTTACTAAAATATCGCAGTTTTCGTTTTTCTGAAAATTACCGTTATATGGGAGGTAGGCGTGGTTATTGTCCGATTTTTAAAATTTTCAGCCATTTAGTATGCTGTACGAAGGCTAACAACTGTGCCAAGTTTGGAAGAAATTGGTGCAGCGGCTATCAAGATATACACATGTAACCATAAGTGGGCGTGGCTACGCCCATTTTCCAAAAATTTATAATATTCATGTTTTCCGTCTGAAACTCATTGTAAGTATCAGTTTTAAGTGAATTATCTTCAGTAGTTACTAAAATATCGCAGTTTTCGTATTTTTTAAAATTACCGTTATATGGGAGGTAGGCGTGGTTATTGTCCGATTTCGCCCATTTTCAATACCATTCGTCCTACGCCCAAAAGAGGTTCACGTACCAAGTTTCGTTAAGATATCTCAATTTTTACTCGAGTATCGTGTGTACAGACGGACGGACGGACGGGCGGACAGACAGTCACCGCTTAATCGATTTATCTTTTCATTCTGATCATTTATGTATACATTTGTCTATATCTATCTCGATTCGTTTTGCCTGTTACAAACAACCGTTATGTGAACAAAGTTATAATACCCTTGTGCACAAGTGCGCTCGGGTATAAAAATATGGGACATAAGTATTTTTTCGTCCGTAGGTGTGAGAGCGTAAAAATTCCGACAAGCCTAATGTACACATAGCATGTTAAAACAAAAATAACAATGCAGCTAGTATATATGTACATACATATGCATGTGTATGTGATTATGCAAAGTCGCATGACAGCCATGCAAATGAAATTTATTCACCTTTGCCATACACAAAATTTCGCGCGAATCGGCGCACTTACATATCTACACTTTTTGGGTTGTTATTTAAATTCTTACATATCTACACTTTTTGGTTTGTTATTTAAACTCTTCAGTAAATGTACTACACTTCGCATTAAATTCGTTTAGTGTGAGCGAGTTTTCAGTGCTGTTAAATATTTACATATATTTGTATGGGTATGTGAGTAACGGCCTCTATGTAGTATTTGCATATATGTACACGATTTTCACTTTTCACAAAAATCGCCCAGTTATATGTGTATGCACCAAAGGATACACGAATGTACATGTGTAACTACTTACTTACCCGATCGTCCGACGGATATTGTCTGCACGGCAACTGTGGCCGATAGTGATTTGTCCGTTGGCACTGCTGCCGGCGGCACTGGCAGCGGCCCAACTGTTGAGGTGGTCGTCAGATCACAACATTCACGTTCGGGAAATTCACTACAACGTACCAAATGCAATACGCCGAAAAGGGCAACCCAGGTGCTGAGGCAGCAGCAGGTAAGCATTTTCAGGTTTTTTATTTTGAAACGCGTCATCTCACCGACACTGCAATTTTGTGTTGATGTTGTTACACAGCTGTTGGATTTGTATGTATGTATGCAAATGGTACTGTTGCTTTTGCTATTGGCGCTCTTTTGAAGAGTGAGCTGTAGTTGTCAGCAGCAGCAACAGCGGCAATCCTTGGCGATATAACGGTTCAGTTGAAGCACTGAAAACTACTGTTTGCTGCTTTTTATTTTTTTGTATTTTTTTTTTGTATTTTAGGTGCGGAAAATCCACTCGGGGCACTATTTGCGTTTTCTAAAGAATTCGTTTGTAAGCAATCAAGGCTAATGCTGCTGTTCTTTGTTGTTATGCGCTGACTCAGGCAACTAAAACTGATTCGCTAATGTATTTTGAATGCTTCGTTTAAAGCGCTTTTTGGATTTTTATTTTATTTTGTTGTTGAGCACTCTGAGTTTAACATTTTGAAATGAGTTTAATGCTGTAAAGAAATGTTTAGTTTAAATATTAATTCATTCATTTGTTGTCTTTGACTTTATACTTGCTGCCTTTGCCATTCAAAAGCGAACACCTTTGCACTTATTTGTTGAAATTGGTTTTTTTATTGGCATCGCTGGGAATGAAAACAGTTATGAAAAATTAAATTGCCGAAATGGAAATGAAAATTCAGTTTCCATTTTTTGTAACGCGACGAGGAAAACATAAATATAAAGCAACCGTAATTTGAAAGTGGTGGTATGCCCCAGTTTTCTTCGCTTAAGCGAGCGATCGCATGCCAAGAGCAACCACAATTTCTTTGATAACATTTATTCAATTGCTTGAACTCTCTGCTTGAGCTACGTATATATGTATGTATGCAAGTATAAATATAAGTATACTACAAACAAAAAACAATAGCAAATATAAACTGACTAAATATATTTCTGTACTATAAATATTCAGCAAAGTCATACCCCAAACCTGTATCAGGTACCATACAGCAAAGCAAGGTTTGAGCCACCTACATTCCATTATAAATATGCATATATGGGTATGTGCTATGCATGTATGTGCAGTTGACTGTCAGCAGGAAGATGTCCATAAAAACTTTTCTATTTGCAATTTATTTGTTAGCATTTGGCGGATGGCCATGGCAGCAATGGCACAACTTTAGTGCTTAGAGTTAGTTGAATAGCGCCATGGCGTATGAGCAACTTTTTACTGTACTATACAAAGTGCACTTACATATTTACATATGCACACATCACCCAACATACATGCATGCGCAATACTAATAGTTGTAGCATTGAAACTTTTCCTTTGCGGTTTTTTTTGTTATTATTGTTGCTTAAGTCATTTTGCTTATTGCTGTTGTTCTCCCTCGTGTTGTCGCTCGATTTTTTATGCTACTAATTTTTCTGTCCAATCCTGCGTTCGTCTTGCTGCTCAATGCTCGTCATTACTGTTGCTTTTGTGGTGGATATAGTTTATTTGCTGCCAGTCTTGGTTGTTATGGCTTTTTTGGTCATTCGTTTTTTTTTCATTTTGTTGGTGGCTTTTGTAGTTGGTCGAAATGTTTATGTCTCTCTGATTTGATTTTTATTTTGCGGTACAATAACCGGCAGTGCTGCCATTGTTGTAGAAAAGTTTGAAATTTTCGATTGAATGTACAGCTTTGGGACTCTGGGGCTGAGAATGATAATTTGTACTATAAAAATTTGAGTTCTATTATTTAGTCAGCAGCAAAGATAATAGTGTTTTAAATTTTCATATGATGTACGCTTCCTAAAGGCTAGTTAATATTCAAATAGCCGAACGTTACTCATCGACAAACCTACTTTGGGCTATTAATCCTAGTAAAAAATTGTAACTTATAACTTCAACTCTGTGGGGAGGTTAGAGAAATAATTTTTGAAGTGAAACATCTTTAGCGGCGGTTGGTTGGTTGGGAGTAAATTGGCAAATTCAACGGAAATTGCACACGGAAATGGTGCAACGGAAATGATGCAACGGAAATGGTTGAGACGGACACAAGTGCTTCCTGAATATACACAATAAAACAAATAAATTTAGCAAAAACTTGCTAATAAAAGGTTAAAGAATAACACTTAGAAAAAGACCAATACAAGAATGAAAATAAAGGTGACTACGTACATCGATAATGAAAAGGATAAATGCAAAGATAAAAATAAAAACAAAAAAAAAAGATACGTGAAGATAAACGAAAAAATGAAGACTAAAGTAAATTTAAACATTTTGCTTACATATGTAGATGAAAAACATGATAAGCATATAAGTAAAAGCAAAGCTAAATATAAAGAAAAAGATGAGGATGAGGATACCGATAAAAGTAAGGATGAAGATATAGGTGGAAAGGTTAATATAAAGGTAATTGTAGAGAAAACTTTTCTCAGAGACTCAATCTGGGACCTATTTTACAATAATCGATATTTTTATCGGTTTTGTTATGGATTATTTATCGATTTAGTTATCGATTATCTATCGATTCTATTATCTATACTTGTTTCGATTTTTTTCGATATTTTTATATCGATATATTATATAGATTTTAGATTAAAATTAATTTTAAAATTATAAATAAGTTTTTTAAATTATAAACAGATGGCAACCATATTCAAAATTATTTCGGAAATAAAGTTTATTAAACCTCTCCCATTTGTTACTTTATATCAAAATATTTGATTCAACTGCCTTATCAAATTGATTTTAATTTTTAAAATAATTAGCAATCCCCTTAAAAAATAAAAATCGTTTTTGAAAATTTTTCATTTGATGCATTTTTGCAATACTTTATTTAGCTCATTAATTATTTGGTGCAAAAAATATGGTTGAAAAAGGTTTTTAAGAAATATTAAAATTTTTTTCTTGACTGTGTGCCAAACTTCAAATAAAATACGTTCTGCCATTTAGCATGCAAAAGTACCAGCATACATACAAGCGTTCATATTTTTAAAACACATTCAAGTACTAACTTCCAAAAATATTTTAGAAATTATTGTTTTGATTCAGATAATGATTTCTTTTTTTACAAAAAAAAATATTTAAGAAACATTTCATCACAATAGCGGAAAACGCATCCGTTTCAGAACCTTTTTTTATACTTTTCTAAACATACGTTTTCGTCGCGCACTTTAGCGGGAGAGAGTGTTTGAAAAACGACAGCAAACTAAACATAAAAATTGATGAAACATCAGATTTTTAAACGAAATAGTTCCCATTTTCGGATACGTAGCCGCATATTTTGCTGGCTGGGTATGTTTCTTCTTACTCTTAACTAAAAAAAAATGTATGTAATGCCAAAGTAAATTTTACATTCAAGATGTAGTAAAATTCTCATTTCGTAATAAAATCAAGCTATGGTACTTTGCAAGTCGAGCGGAGCATAACTTTAAAATTTGCCCTTCTAAAGCTACTTCAGCACATTCATACACACATACATACATACCTCTTCTGGCAGCAGCAAACACTTTTAGCCTTTTGACTGATTGCAGTGAATTAGAGAAAATAACATTTGCCTGTCATAGCAAATATTTGCTGGGTACATAAAAATAATTTACGTCGATAACCTGCTGAATAAAAAATGACGCCGAGAACCAACAAAGGAAATGCAAACATTTGCGGCGCTCAAACAAATTCACACACGCACATGCATACGTACATACGTACATACATACGTACGGAACCATACATAAATATATGTAGATCTATCCGCAGGAACGTACACACATTTATGTTTAGTAACAAAAGTTATTTGTAAAGTTTGTAAGTAGTTAGCTGCTATTCGAACCAATGGCAGCACAAAGTGGCGGCAAAAAGTCGGAAACATTGCTAGACAGCTTATTTGACAGATACAGTATGTATGTCAGCGTATGAGCAGGTGGAGGTAGGTCAACCCTAGCGCGTATATTATATATACATACATACATACATACACACACATTACACATATGTATGTGCATACTATGTAGGTAGGAAATCATTGAAGTGGTTAAGGAAATTAGCAAGCGACAGTTAGTATATGTAGGCAAATAGTAGAGTTTAAGTCATAAAATGCAGTCAATCAGTTAAATTGAAAGGATATGAATGCGATATTTGCACAGAGTGAGACGGAATATAATAAGTGAATAAGTTTACTTACTAACCCACTAAACAAAAAGCAATTGACTTTACAAGTGAATATTGAAAATGTAAAATCTGTAATCGCTTGCAGTTGAAGATGGGAGTGAAACGAACTGTTCGAGTGGAAGTATGAGGGGGATGAATGTTCAGTACAGACGTACAGAGTAACTATATTATCACTCGGGCTTTAAAATATTAGCGGGAAATACTAATTACAGCTCTGTTATTGAAGAAAAGAAACGCCCCCCACACTTTTTGTTTTCAATTTCATAAATTGTTTAAAAAGAAATTTACTAAAATTTTTAAATCAAAAGTTATTATTTTCTACTTTTTAGTCCATTCATAGAAGCGTGGCATATTAATAAGTTTTTTATTTTATTTATTTTTTACTTTTTAGTCTTGTCTACATAAAACTTTTCAATAGATCTTAAAACAATTTAACGATATTCTAGTATGAATTGTATTTTATCAAATTGACTTTTTATTTATTTTCTCTTTGAACATACATGTATATACATATGCACATACATATGGCAGCAATTAATTTCATTTAACGAATTGGCGTATCGTGTAGACCCGCAAAGCGTATTGCATATTTTAAGACTTAATAATGCAGTCGCTAAATATTTAACTACTTCCGTCGCGCGGACATCTACCTTTAATCTACCTGAATTGTATGTTACTTGGTATGATGTCTACCGATGGGGCTTAATTATAGTAAAGGTGTCTGGACAAACAAGAACGCAAGCTGATAAAATCATGGTAAAAGAATAATGTGAAAAGAGTTGATTACAAACAATTCTCAGAAAGAAGTAATTAAAAAACTAAATTTTTAAGATAGGCTTTTATTAGTGTTAAATTAAAATAGCAAAATCGACCATGGCACCTCCTAACGGCTATTGGAGTTATTTCTAATAATCTAATCTTTATTTTTTACATTGCTTGATAACAGTTATTGCCCGACATTTATTTTTACGTTGTTTGATGAAAGTTATTTCACTTTTCGACTTTTATTTCCTTCAACTTTTTCTTATTCTCCATCTCCATCTTCCTCAATATCCTTATCTTACAACGTTTATCAGATAACGTAAAAAATTAACTATGGAACATAACTGTTATCATCAATTCATCTTTCATCTCGTATTGTCATCCGGTTCTGAGGTTGGAAATTGATTGCAAGATTTGGTCCCGACCAAATGAATAAAATGAAATTTTCTTAAAATTTTTTAAGAAATTACACTTGATAGTTCTCGAGGTAACCGAATTTATTTTTTTTTGATATTTTAAATTCAAGGATGATACAAAATTTTTATGTGGATCTTAGTGTCTTACTTTTCGCTCTTTTTCTAGAAACTT